TTACAACTGTTCTGTTAAGATTTTATTATTCGAAGGTAGATCAAGGGGTCTCGTTTTGTCACAAACTGACCACTTTAAAATATGGACTACTGGTCAGGTAACTGAACAGTATCATGTTTACAACAAGACTTGAGGGTCCCATTTAAGGTCGTTAATGTTCATGTACTTACAATTCGCAAAACGAGAATGAAACACCTAACCAATACCCCGTCATATCATTGGTTCACTAATGTTCATTTGTGACGAAAATTACCCTTGAAATCTATTTTTTGTTGAGCTACAGTATCAACTTTCTTCAAGCTCGGTGCAAAACATACAATTAGACCATATCAGATATTTTCAGGATGACGGTGAAATTATCGAATGAACGAAAAATGTGACACTTGAAATTGAAGATAAACCAAAACGTCTAAAATATTTTCTCAGAAATTTGAAAAGTTTATAGCGTGTATGTAATAATCCCTACTAATACAAATAGTTTTAAGTAGTCAGTATTCGATAGTTTACATTTCTAACTTCAAACATTTTGCGATTGCGCGTAAACAATATTCAGTGTCACTGCTTCGTCGTCTTCTTAGTTATTCCTCTTTTCTTCATAAACTTAAAAAAACATTGTCGTGTTGGCAAAAGTAATCAAATTCCTAGCTTATGGTATGGAATATAATAGTGTTAGACGACTGAATAATACGAGTACACTAGACTACGACACAAGATATACGCATACACAATATCCGACTGACAGTCTGAGAATCAGATGATAAATCAAAATCACAGTTTATCGACACATAGTATAGAGAATTAACAGAGTGAAATCCGAATAGAATTACAGCGAAATCTTTTACATATAGCAATAGTCTGTATACTTAATATTTGTCTTTATTTCCTCAGAGACCATCCAAATATTACTTTCACTGACAACACATCAAAACACTGAGTAACGTAGGAGCTAAATTGAAAAGAATGTTAAAAGCCCATTTTTCGGTATAGAACGATTTAAGACAGTCTTCAGCTGTTTCAAAAATAACAGTCAGTTATTTCAGTCAGCAGATGACCTAGATTTAAAACCATCATGCAGAACTTGTGATAGGCTTTAGTAAATATTTAGTAGTTAATTGGTCCATAATAGTCATTACGTCTCATATTGTAAACAGGATCCCAAGCAACTCGTCTTCAAATAGGAATCCGTTATTTTGCTACAAAGCATTATAAATACATTAAACGATAACTTAGTAGCCATGAATCCAACTCAACTATAAAAGCAATGTCTCATTGTTTGTTGTGACCTTAGTTGTTGCCACGGATTAACTTATTCCTAACAACCATCTACACTTATTATGTTGGAAATTCAGAGTATTAATAGGTATCCAACTGAGTCAGTGAATGATATCGTACTCATTTTGAGATCCGAGGGTTCAGCGTTTAATAAATCCAGTATAAGGGATTTGAGTGGAGGGATTCACAGTACTAATGAATTCCGAAAAAGAATAAAACAACTATTCAGTACTCATGGTTTTTTTTAAGTTTCTCAAGTGATCTCGTTTCTTGATGAGAAACACAAATCATTTTTAGTAAATATGAATATTCTTTCTTCATGTTTACAAATTCCATTATAAGTTCATCATTCACAACTTCCGTCAATGAAGTTCACAATTAAAAAGTAAATTAAGATTTATTTATATGATATGAACTTAAACGATCCAACATTACATCCCATAACGTGATAGAAAATCATGTTGTGTTTGCTTATTGTTTTTGTTTTTATCATTAGTATTTACGTTGTGTATATTTTACATACAAGCAAGTATTCTTATTTAATAATAAAATTACTACATGAAAGTTGCAAGTAAAGGAGTAGAATATTAAACTAAAATCATTAATTGTAATATTCTTTTAAAGACGTTAATCCATTGTGATAAAAGATCATGTTTGTAACCGAAAAATTAGAATGACAGTAGGTAACGTTCTCATCAAAGAGATTACTATCCGGAGGAGATAATTCAGTCAGCAAAGACTGGCAGTTAGTTCAAGTAAATGCTAAACAGGCAAGGAACTGGACAGTAACTGATCAATTACATTGGATGACTGTTGTACTATTGTTTATTTAAACACAAATATATAAGTTAAAAGGGGCACCAGATACATACAATAACAATGAGAATGTGAAGAAAAAGAATGTAAGGTGCTCATAAGAAAAATGGGAACAATAGCGAACAGAAATTAGCGTATTAAAGTGAAATAATCGGAAAGGTAGTTCAGATAACAAAGGTACAATCAGAAATTCTTTCAGTCCAAGAAGTTACGTCAATTGTTTATAAAGTAATAGAAAGTTACAGCAGAATCTCCACTAGCTTCTATTCTGAACCATATCTCGTAACGTCTCTAGCCACTGTGTTGCAACATCTCTAGGATGCCAACCAGGGAGTCGTGAAGAACCAACAGAAGCCAGTCCTGTACAGCTATCTTTCATACCACAACACAATGTCACACACTGACCACCTATCCACCTTTTCCAGCCAGTCTAGAGTCGGCAAATAATGCATGACGTGGAATTCACTGGGACAACATTCGTAAAACATGCCCAAGTCCCGAAAGTCGATGTTTGAAGATAGCGAAACCAACTGGATTATCCTCTCTGCGCCCGAACACACGATGCCCAACCTCTGCATTACTAACATGGTGTCGCCACTGGATGTCAGCAATCATTCAGAGACAACGATGATCAAACACAGAGAGTCGTCTAACATCCTCAACTCGGAGATGTCAGGTTCCACAAGCACACAGCTAAACTGCTCTCACCAACGCGTTTTAGATCCGACCTTTTACAGCCAGACTAACATCACGAAGGCGCCAAAGATGGCCCAGATTGGCAAAAGTCGCTCTGGCTTTCAATATATGTGAATTGATTTCATCACTCATGCCACCACCAGCACTTATGCAGCTACCCAGATACACGAACTTCTCGTCTACTTCTACCTGATCACTACCCATGGTGAGTGCAGGATCAGGGTCCTGCCGGTCTTGTAAAAGTACTTTGCACTTCAAAGGTGCAAAGCATATACCGTACCTACGGACATTGATTGGCAACTGACTAAGTACGGACTGCATGGCTTGGGCATTATCCCACAGTAAGACAATATCATCCGCATAATCAAGGTTGATAAGTCTTTCTTCAGGCAACAGACCCACACCTTCATCTATCAGGGCTGTTTCCAGAATGTCATCGATGACAAAGTTGAAGAGGAATGGTGAGGTTGGGCAACCTGTCTAGCCCCACTGCCTGAATGGAACAATGGAGAAAGGTGGTTGTATGTCCTCACTCTGCCTGAGGTGTTTGTATATAGGGCTTTTAGGATGTTAATAAATTTCTCAGGCACACCCTTCTTCAATAGACAATCCCAGAGAACAGTCCTATTCAACGAATCGAAGGCAGCCCTGATGTCAAGAAACACTACGATTGTTGGCCTTTGATAAGTATGGCGGTGTTCTAACATTTGGCGGAGGGTGAAGATATGATCAATACATCCTCGACCAGAACGAAACCCAGCCTGCTCCTCGCGAGTCAATCTTTCTCGGGTTTTGAACAATCTACGAAGTATGACGGAAACCAATAGCTTGGACGCAATCTGAAGTAGAATTATCCCTCGATAGTCGTCACAGAGACGACATGAACCCTTTTTTAAAGATAGGGACAACTGTGGACTTATTCCGTGATGCTGGAACACTCTCTAATTCCCAAACGTTTGTAAACAACGCAGTCACTACCACCTTTAGAAAGGGCTGGAGGTAAGTCATCTCGACCCAGTGGTTTGTAGCATCTCAAGAGTTGGAGTTCCTTGTGGACCTCGCCCCATTTGGTGGATCGGTCATCACAAGCCATGAAGGGGAGGACAGCCTGATTGATGTTGCCGGGGCAGCAGACCAGTTGAACTGCCTTCGAAAATCCCTGCTCATCGTCCAGGACGTCGATAGATGTTAGTGATTGGCATCTTGTCATCTTCACAGATCGTTTCACTCACAGCAGACTTCTTGCTGCCAATGGCTCGGATGAGTTGGAAGAGCTTCTGGCAGTTATCAGATGCAGCTGCTGCTTACAACTCATTGGCACGCTCCGACCACCAGGCTTATCGGTCCCTACGCAAGCCTTGCCCAATTTCATTACGTAACAGTCGTCGTTTGTGGTCAGACTCATGGTCACGTGAAGTAGACCGACGGGCTTCAATGAGTTGTAAGGTGTCTTTAGGAACCCAGTTCTTGTAAGCGAAACGTCTCGCGAAGCCGCAAGCGACTTTGTTCGCCATTCTCATGCAATTGCAAACAATGCTCATCTACATTTCTCGGTGGGATGGTATCTAGCCTTCAACTTATCTCCGTTTGATATTTAGTTGCAACAGAAGCTGAAACCAATTTACAGACGTCGATTCGTTTAGAACAACGAATGTGTTGGCCACTGAAAAATAAGGTAAGATTAGCGCAAACAAGGGCATGATCAGAGTCAATATATATATAGACGCATAAAGTACAAGTTTCATGATAATATATCCTACGCAACCTTATTTTATTTAACAATAAGCTATGTATTAGTTAACAGATCATGTTAGCTAGCATAATGGCGAAATAATGTTTGATAATCGATATAATTGACCACTACAATCTTTTGAAATCGTCTATTGATCGTTAAATATGATTATTTTTCAATTTTCTACTCATATATAGATAATATAAGCAGATTATGTAAACAAACTAATCAATCTTTAACAATCTTGAAGATAATCATTTTGATTAATATAACTCTTTTCGACTGATAAATTAGTTTTTACTTAAGTAATAATTTTTAAAAATCTAAATTGCATGCCAAGATATAAATATATTTCTCATTAGATCCAATATAACAGATCAATGAGTGGCAAAACGAGTCTCAGATACACATTGTTCTACTCATTTTCAAATATTTTTGTCACCAAATTTATAACATACTGAAAACTGTGGTGAATCCACGGGTTATTTAATCTTAATTTGAAAACCTCAACAGGTGAACACTCACAATTGCATATGAAATCGAACTGAAAAATCCCCGATTCTCTCAGTAAGTAACATGAAATCCAATATAATCTATCAATGAGTCAATGATTCATTTAAAATTTGGTTAACTTCATGGGTCATAAAACTTATCGATATGTATATAAATTTACACAAAGAAACGTCGTTGAACATCTAAAAGTCTCGATTCAATCCCTGTAAGAATTTATAAAAAGGGAAAAAATGAATAATTTAGAAAACTTACAACCGCTAGTTGGTTGTTTAAATTATGTTAAAATTCTGTATATCTTTACTATAACCTTTGTAGTTGACTTGATATTTTCTAATTTTTGATTATTATCACCAAAATGTTGACAATATTGAATATATCTAGGGTTAAACAAGTATTATGTGAACTACTGAATATTCAGAATTACTGGTTTATGTTGTCTAATAATGTTGAAGCAATCGTGACTAAAAATAGTTGATAAAAAACTGTCAAGTGAAACACGGGAACTACTTCTGTTTTAAATAAAACGTACATTCATAACCAATTAAAATTAATTACTTCAAACAAATAAATAAATACTGGTCACAGAAAGAAAATGACTTATTTTTTATTGACTTGTTCATGCATTAGTGAGGTTCACATGAATGATAACAAAATGTTAAAAGTCATTTGAAATTAATGTTCGGATAGTTGCTGAGAAGGCTGCACTATGTAGTAGCAACTGATAATTCTAAATTGAAACCTGTAAATAAATAAAAGTTTGAATGACATGGTCACCGTTTAGTAACCAACTCTTCAATTTTAGGGTATTACAATGAAAATAATTCATAATGGAAAGTTATAAAAAGTTTAAGATTTATCAGAAATCATCAGATATTGGATTTGATAAGAAAAGATATGAGATGGGTTTTAGACCAACAAACCTTATTTACGTCAATAATACCTGCTGTAAACTATCAGGTAACTGATTAATACAACTCGATCACTAAGTATATCTCTGTATAGCTCCCCTTAAGCCATAATTTTGATATAAGAGGTAGTGATACACTGCCTGGTTGCTGAAGCCAGACTGGAAACTATGATTAGATGTCGAATCCTATAACAGATAGACCATAACCTCACCAGTTCAGACGAAATTACCTAACAATTATAAGTAGTAATTAAAACGTGCTTAAAAACAATAGTCAATTGTTACATTTACTAATTAACAAAAATAAGAACACAATGATGCCAGTTGATGTTTGTGTCATTAACTTTATCGTTCTGTATCAGAACTGCAGCAAAGGACTAGTGTGTTTCGATCTTAAACCAATATGAAATGTGGTACTAACCAATACACTGAAAACACTCAACTTGATATCAAGTTTACATAATTTGGATCGCAAAAGTATTCAACACAAGTTCTGAGAACGACACCTACAAAATTTAGATGAATGTATAAGGCTTATAGGAATACGGTAATGTTAACTTACATTGGTAACCCGTACAGGTTGCATACCCACTTCTGAATGACAATTTATTAGAGGGATAATGAATCACTATCTGGTTGATTATACTAGCATGATTGGTGTGGTTTTAAGTAACTATCCATTGAATGAAAGACAAGTGCTTCAACCACCACCTTGAGCGTTTAGAATATCCTTTTAGTAAACGAATTCTACGAGGTAAATGAAATTACTTGCACAACAGAATTTAAAATGGAGTTCATGAGTAAAAATGATGGCGACCGAAGGCAGTTGCTGAGTTATGAGATGATGCAGATAAACTTTAAAGTCCTAGACTCATGTATGTAGTTGTTTTCGAAACTACTCTAGTGAGGAACACTTCACTGAGAAATAAATTTTGTCTACAATTCACCGACCGCATTATCTGATGACCGATCTCCAGAATCCTGAATGTTTTCATCTTTTCTAAGCAAGGAATAACCACAAAATATTGTTAACCCTACACATGTAATCAATATATGCTCAGACGAAAGAGTCGCTGCAAAGAATAAAAATCGTGTTTTCAATCATGAATTGCCTAATCGGCTCTGGTACAAATAACCAGTTCCGATCAACACTACAAAGACTTGTCCAAATATAATACGTCCAGTGTCTCGTCCTGCCTTGGTTTGACTCTCCTTGCACATTCTATGCACTTTGTACTTAGTGATTTGACAATTGAATGTCCTACCAAACTGGTCAAATTGCATCATGTAAATAAACGAAAATTTTTGAATTAACTCCATTTTCTTATTAGACATATGAGGTCAACACTGCCAATAAACTTAATAGTAGCCTAAAACTTTACAACTCACCTGCATATATCTGGACATTACATTCTTATCGACAAGAGAATCTTTTAAATCTTCTCTGATGGAACATTACTTTCGATAAAAAGGAGTGATTTGTTTACTTCAGATGTTAAGTAAACAATATCGCTAACGTTATATGCGAACCAATGTTCAAGAACATTAAATTTAGCACTCAGTCTTCGGATTTCGACTTGGCAGTTTTATGAACAAAGAACTTTTGAACTCAAAATATAAGAGGAAGTTTACTGTTAAGTAGTCTCAAAATTGAACAAAACAAATGACCCATGCTTTCTCGCCCCTAAATGTCAGTTAAATTCAAATTACTAAAATCTACAAACTGTCAGCTTAAGATAGTTTAATTCTCACCAGCAGCAAAAACTAAACCATCACACTGAGACGGAAGTTTACTACAGTGATATGACGAGCTGGAACTAAATCTAACAATAAAGCCTCAATTCGCTGGATAACCAGTGACCCACTAAACCGATATCCTCTAATAGCTTAGAACATCTAGTCATATTTATTGTTGTGTTACAAGCATATTATCTTATCAAGCAGGAAACTACCTTTTTGGCAAGTGACCTTGTCTGTGACTCAAGTTCATCAACGGGGGTTGTGTTGATAACTCGATCTTGTGAGTACCTATCACTTCGCTAGGTTTTATTATTTTATTCTATCCATCAATCAGTATTACTTTTACACATTGCACAACTTCTAATCGCTCGTCATTGCAAATCATAAACTTTCCATATCAGCAACGACGTTGATGGAAATCTATTATAAAAGTGTCAATTTCATTACATCAATTACATGTAAACAAGACGATTCGATTAAAATATAAAATAACCATCTAGTACCACAAGTTTTAAAAATTCAAGTATATTACGAATGCAAAAATAATTTGTAAAGCATATTATGGAAGCTGAATTATACATGGAAGAGAATTGCATTATTGGTAGTGTCATTATTATCAACAGGATAATCCTTTAGCGTGGTTATAAATATCAAAATTCTCGTTATCAATCATATGAAAGACTACGTAACCAAGTTTAATCAAATATGGAACGATGAGATATTAACAATCGGTATGTAAATTTACAAACGATTATTTAGCAACTTGTGTATGAGCTGGTATAGTTATATAACGGCATGTAGTTGTTGCAGTTGAATTACTTGTTGGTGTTGTACATGCTGTTGTTGATTGTGGTAATATAGTAGTATTGTTTTGTAATGAAATACTTTTACTCCGTAGTACAGATATATTGTCCACAGTTGGAATAGTATCCCCCGTCGGAGAGTCCAAATTGCCTGAGGGAAAGGAATCCTTTACTAATGGCCTCGACTTAGCCATGTTATAGTCACCAGAATCGAAATATTTCACCTAAATGAACAAAATACTAGATTTAACTGGGGTTAGAGAAATAAACGTAAGCCTAACTTTATCTTAGAAAACTGAATGCTAAACTATCAAATAATTAGGAGTTATTTGTCTTCGCAACTTATGATAAGATACGTTTAAATACGTCACTTAATGTAGCGTCTATTAGTTCAAAATATTCCATAACCGATTTTTAATTATGTAGACTAAGGTAATGGAAATAGAATGAGAACTCATCTAACAACCGAAAAACACGTCAGAACACAAAGTCATGAAGCTTTTTTGAAAGTAAAATCATGTGTAAAAAGTAGAAACAAAAGTAAGGAGTATCAGAAAAGTATATTAAGAACCCGAGACGGTTAGTGAAATAGCAATGTCACACACTTACTGATTGGTATAGAAGACACCTCTGGAACGCAGCAAGTGTTGATTAAGAAGACTCAAGTAGTACGCATAAGATGACACTTAGAACCGGTCCGAATACTATGGGAAAATTGCACTTCAAAATCAAATAAGGAATAAATAATTTGAGATAGAAGCTAAGAACATGATTCAAAACCTGCATATGAATATAAAACACTACAATGGAACTCAACGAAAACCAACAACAGGAAAACCAAAGGAATGGAAATATACACTAGCATTAATGGGTGGATAATAATGGATAATCAGAAAGAACAAGTGATATGGAAAAAAACTAAAAGATTACGGAATAAGAGATTTGTGATTCAAGGAATGGTTTACTACTATTGAGTCGCGACTAAAATGTGCGGAACACTACGGACATTAGAGACTTTCATGGAGTTTGATAAAAAAAATATGTAAATTACATCACACAGAACTGGCGAAGCCAAAACTAAGCAACTGCTCAGAGTGCAAATCCCTGTTTGGAAGTTGACTTGAGATTAGTACAAAGTTCAGAACACCAATAACTGCAACTTACATTACCTTCAGATGAGCGGTTTTCGAAGTTAGATCTTCTAACATTATGCTGTCATAGATCAATATGACTCAATCATGACCTAGTGATTTCGAACCTGATATATTCTCTCTCAACTGAGTAAAAAAGAACCCACACAAGTTGACTCCAAAGACAATGAGTATCTGGTTCTCGGTGAAGTGAGGCTTTATCTATCAGGAAACCAGGCCTTAGGATCTTCTAGTAGAGGTGGTGCCTGTTTGAGTTAATCAAGAGAATACAGGCCAAACAAACCCGAACCGGCAAAAACTAAGTCATTTAACCACCTGTGTTGAAGGTAGAAACCAGAATCTAAAATTATTGTACGTGACTCTAACTCACGTCAAGTTAGGAATCCACCTATCGAAATTATCCACCGCATACCTAAATCTGTCCACCACTATAACATATTGCGATAAAAAGCCGTACACCTCAGGCAAAGTATAGTTGCTTAAAATATTAGTACAGGCAGGCATATAAGGATAAAACAGTAAAACTTCCTGTACTTGGCTGAAACCCACTCACTTAAATAATCTGTTCTTATTAACTGTGTAAGTATTATGACCTGCCTTAACGAGAACATAAGGATCTTGCATTTCAACACTTTCAGTCAGATTTGAGTCTACAAAATTTTTTAAAAGTTATACTGACTGTTAAATGACCCCTTATACTTACATTTTTACTTAGCCGTCGATGTAGCAACGATGATGCATTATTAATCAAACCAGGGTATTTGGCATGAAGTTTTTCCGACTCTTGCTATAGAGGAAAAATACTAAATTATCGTCTATACAAACCTTAAGTTCACTTTTGTCGACACCATCAACCGAAGCCATTTTTGTAGAGTCCTAGTAAAGTGTAGGAGCTTCAGGAAAAACAAGAGTAAACTATGATGGGAAGCTCAATATGCTGGAAAGCATACTTACATTCCGTGACGAAACAATTTACAACAACTAGTAGTAGTGCAAAAGGAGTGTAAGAAGAATAGACAGTCCAAACTAGACCTTCAAACAGGGTCACAAACGTGTTACAACGTTATACTTTAAACTACCCCTACATTTTAACAATGTCTGATGTAGGTTGTCAAATAATCTAAAGTGAACATCGACTTATCTTTCTGGTTCCTTTGTGACATTTTTTCTCATCTTGCATTATGAAATTCAGGATAACCATTATTCATCAATCAGATAACTGACACGCGTACTATTCAAAAGGACAGTGGTATTCTTTCTCGTTGAGTTAATTAACTGTTTTGATCGTAAATTACGCATCAAAACTACTGTTTACACTTTAATTTCATCTACCCCAGTTAAAGTGATATTGTATTGAGTTCTTCAATTTTGCTTTTGTGTATTTATTGTAAATGTATCGAAGCATACTTGGTCGAGTTTTACTTGATTTATTTAGTTAAGGTTTGAAAATCCTTTTACATATCCTGTTTTTGTCACCGTTCAAGTTGATTTTCAAGATGGCTAGGTCTACTCATAAATGTGAACAACCATACTGCTTATTTCCCGTGGATGAAGGGATGCAATGTGATGAGTGTAATAAGTGGTTCCATATGATGTGCACCCGACTAAGCCCCACTGCATATAAAAGGTGTTCAAAGCCCAACTCTCATTGGCTTTGTAGTTTCTGTTGCTCGAGCAAAACCTTGCTTATCCAGGAAGCAATTAGTCTCCTGGTGTTGGCTAATAAGAAGGTTGATGAGGGCTGTACTGATAACGTTGGTACTGATGGCGAAGATTGCGTTAGTGTCGTAAGTGCTATCACGGCCCAAGCCAGACATATACCTGTGCAACCCGCAGTTAAACGTTCTCCCCCGAAACGATCAGTGAGTGACACGTCATTAGACGTTGGTGGCCATATTGCTACAGCAGCAACCGGTGACCCAGATAAAACAATTACTGTCCCGAGTTGCTCTAATGTAGACGTTTCGACTGATGGAAAATGGATGACGCGAAAACTCAGAAGAGTAGGAAAAATAGCTAAAACTAATGACTGTTTACTTGGTAAGTTCTTGGTGGACTCTCAGACCAATCCGCCAAAGTCCCATAGTACAGCTTCGTCTGACATTGTTGTGAGTCATTCGCTTGGCTCCCAGGACTCTGTTAAAATAAAAACTAATCGTAAGATACCAGTAGTTAAAATACAGGATCTAACATCACGGTCGAAAGCTGTGAACACAGTTTCAAAGGAAGCTAAAACCCTCCCTAGTTTAATTATTTGGAATCTAGAGGAGTCGAAAGACAACGACCCTGCTAGAAGACATGCACATGACCTGCAGTTAGTGGAGTCTGTGGTAAGAAATGTGCTACCTGAAGAGGTTTTAGGGGTACATATTACAAAAGTAATACGACTTGGTAAATGGGTTGGAGGCGAGACCCAACCAAGAAGAATCCTGAAGCTAGTTCTCGGGAGTTTTGAAGAAAGAGACATATTATTGAAAAACGCACCAAAAACTCGTGCCTCAAATATCCGTATTCGACCAGATTGGCCGCTTGAGGATCGAATCAAGTGGAAGAATGCTCTTACGGATTTGAGGACTCACAAATTAAATGACGAAAATAACCTTACCATTAAGGGTTTTCGGGTAGTCAGGTCTTGGAAGCCAATGCTTCCGAGGCCTGTATGGGTAGAACGATTGATTTCCAAAACACCTTAAGTGCGTGCTATACAAACTCTCGTAGTCTTAGAAATAAAACGTCCGAGCTAAGTCTGATGGTGCAAGAAATATGTCCCGATATAATCGTTGTTACGAAAACTTGGTTCACCGTTAATATAGACTGTTCTCCTTTCATTGCTGATTATATCTGTATCAGAAGTGATCGAGTTTCAAGTCGCAAAGGGGGGGGTATAATATTATACGTTAGGGATCACTTTTGTATGCAATCAACCATATCGGAGGCTCATATCAGTGGCACATGTGAGGTTGTAACAGCTTAGGTTGGTTGGTTAAGAGTTGACCCCAAACAACCAAGCATATACCAAAACAGTATTGTTCAAGTATCCATTCACTTCCTTGTTCTGTATAAGCGTTATATTCCCTATTATCTTATATTGAATGTTGAGAGCCTTTGTTTGTCTGAACAGATAATCCCACGCTCCACTGTGACCGTGCTAAGATCGAAATAAAAACCTATTCACTACTTGTCTGGTTTCTTCTATCAATAGCACGAGTGTTACTTTAAGGCACGAAAAGGTTGCATGTTGTAAGATTAAATCTAGAAATGGGTTAGTGACTATAGGGGGAATATACCGTAGTCCGTCTTCTCTTGCTGACGACTTTATCCTAAGACACATCTGTTCTTGGAGTATGGCAGAATGTTGTCTCATCACTGGAGACTTCAACGCACCGCATATCAATTGGATAGAGCTTACAGCTCCAGGTAGTGGTTTCGATAGCGACCTTTTATCTGCCGTTATTCAGTGTGCACTTGTACAATTTATCACAAAACCGACACATATTGATTTGCAACATGATCCGTCACTGATGGACCTCGCCCTCACCCACCAATCTTAGGATGTCTTTGATATCCAGCACCTTCCACCACTAGTGAACAGTGATCACGTCGTAATTCACTTTAAGTTTAAGACACATGGTATACAATTCGTATCTGCTCCACCCCGTCCCAATATCTGGCGAGCTAATATTACCGAAATCAGAAACTGTGCTATCTCGACTAATTGGTCGGTCGACGCGGATGGATTGATCGAAGATAAATGGAATAAGTTTAAGGCTACATTCGAGTCCGTAACGTCGCCGTTTATCCCATGGTCAGCACGTAAGCTATCACATTGCCTTCTATGGATTAATAAGGAAACCTGGAAGTTGTTAAAGCGTAGGAAACATTTCTGGGACTTATTCTTGTTGACAGGTCATGCACCATTTGAGCGTGAGTACCAAAAGAACCGTAATATCTGTAAGAAAACCATAGCCAAATCCCGTACCACTTACGAACGACAGTTAGTATATGATAGCCGTACTTGTCCGAAACGATTGTTTTCGTATGCTAAACGGCAAATGAAACGTAGTGATGGTATTCCCCCGTTACTGTCACACGAAAATTCAGAATTACTAGCTGAATCAGATCGAGCAAAATCTGAGACTTTTTCAGACTATTTTAGCGAAGTCTTCTCTACGTTTATTGTAACAAATATTTATCCCACTCACACCGAGATACCAACCATTGAATCTGTACAGGTGACTGAGGAAACTGTCCTTCCGTTGATAACTAACCTCAAGCCTGGTAAGATACCGGGCCCTGACGGGTTACATCCACGGTTGCTGTCATTTCTTGCGGACATTATTTCAAAACCGCTTGCGACACTCTTCAACATGTCCCTCTCACTCGCTGAACTCCCTAGAGATTGAAAGGACGCTATAGTTAGTCCTATATTTAAGGACGGTCAGCGACAGATAGTATCTAATTACCGGCCTGTCAGTCTAACTAGCATAATCGTTAAGTTACTCGAAAAGATAATTCGGGTTAGGTTGCTAAGCCACATAGACTGAACATCCTATCTGCCGGAGGTTTTGGTGGCCATCCATCCACGAAGACGTTGCAGAATTCTGCAAAAATTGTAGCACATACTATGCTATCAAGTCACCCGACAAATACTCCGCGCACCATTAGTTCCAATGACGACAGAAGGTCCGCGTCAGCGAGTTGGCATCGATATTATGGGGCCACTCACAACGTCAAAGAACGGAAACCGCTATATACTGGTTATGGTAGACTATTTCAGCAAATGGTGTGAAGCTGTTCCTATACCACAACAAGATGCCCTCACAGTCACTCGGGCTTTCATTGATCATTAGGTATCCTGGTACGGCGCTCTCCTCTCACTCCATTCTGACCAAGGTTCAGCTTTTGAAAGTCATCTCGTCGCCTAGGTATGTCGATTATTGGGAATCCGAAAAACACACACTACCGTATATCATCCAGAAGGTAACGGCTTAGTGGAAAGAACCAACAGGACTATCAAAGCTCTCCTACAATCGTTTATCAATAAGTCATCGACGGAATGTTGGGATGACGGGATGCCCCAATGTCTGTTAGCTTAGCGCTCATCAGTGCACGGATCTACAGGATTTTCACCTGCGACCCTACTTTTTGGGTTTGAATTGCGTCTACCCGTTGAGCTGCAAATACCACTGTTACCATGCGAGGCCGAAGATCATGTAGCACACATCCGTAAACTTCGCAACCGCATAGCCGACGCCTATCGCTTAGTGAAGATCAACCTAAAAAATGTCAGCAAGCACCAAAAGGACATGTACGATCGCAAGGCGAACGGACCTGTGTATAAACCCAGAGATCGTGTGTGGCTGCACCGCCCTTTGGCCCCACCGGGGACATGCAGCAAGTTCCATCACTCTTGGCAAGGACCTTACGAAGTTGTGTTTACGCAGTCTCCCACTACATTCGTCTTACGTAATCTCCAGCGACCCCAAGACGATGTTGTAACAGCACACTACAATCAATTAAAGCCAGACAGGACAACGGTGTAACAGTATCAAAAATCATTACGTGTGACTTTACTAATGCAAGTTCGTTTCCCTTATTGCAGGACAACAGAAAATGAACGTACTAGAAGAAGAAGAACAAAGCTTGCGCAAACTAAACCTGCTGGATGATGAGTAAAACCATTTTGTAATAGACTTCCCTTTTTTGTACTTAAACCACGTAATTCAATTTTTAATATATCTCTGTTGTGCTCGCACGAAATGTTCTCACTTGAGTGGCCTGCAAACCATAAATTTATTTCGTCCGTACAGTTTCCATCAGAGAGTACACCCACCCTTTCCTCCTGGGTAAACTCCCCAACCAAC